AGGCTGTAATCTACCTGCTATATGTACAAGGGCGGGCTGAAAAGTTCGTAGGCTGACCCATATATGGCTCTACTAGTATCAAATCCATATGATTTTTAGTTAGCCTTAACCTTCAAAAGACACGTGCATAAATTTGACAGCTGTTGGACTATTATTATCTGAGTTATAGCATTTTTAGTGAAAGAACTTTTGTTGTTTGAAAAAGAAAGTGCTGGTTCATCAAGACAATGCACCGTGTCACAAATCAATGAAATCGACGGCAAAATTCCATGAATTGCGCTTCGAATTGCTTCCGCATCTACCGTACTCTCCAGATCTGGCCCCCAGCGACTTTTTTCTGTTCTCAGATCTCAAGAGGATGCTCGCTGAACAGAAATTTCGCACCGATGAAGAGGTAATCGCCGAAACTGAAGCCTATTTTGAGGCTAAAGACAAATCGTATTATAAATTTGGTATCGAAAAAATGTATGACCGCTATAATCGTTGCATAGCCCTCGAAGGGAACTATATTGAATAATAAAATCAAATTCTATCAAAAAAAATATTTTTTTCTATGCTAGCCTACGAACTTTTCAACCCGCCTGTCATATTGGCAGTACCCCGAGCGCCTTAGTACTACCATAACTCTGACCACAGATGTCGCAGCGTATGTTTACCATTAATCATATTTATATGTCCACGAAATTGTATCGTTAACAAACAAAAAGGTATGAAAAGTCGTGCAACAGTGATAAAAACAAATTAAAGAGCCTGTTAGTCTATTTTGTTCACGTGGACATAGGTACCTACTATTTGTTATGTTTATGTCGCAACATTTCAGAATATGTACGAAATTATATTGTAAATTTCTTATAATTTAGATTACTTTTCATCAAGTACCAAAAAGATGCCATGAAAAGACATGTCTAATGCATTTAATGATAACGTAAATGGAAACTCCCCTTTAAACATTTCAGTTATTTTGTGCTTATTATTTATTAATATAACACATTTCACGCTTTCTTCGAGCTTTAGTTGTACTTAGAAATTGTAAACCGCTTTGAGTCATTCGTGTTAAAGACAAATAAATATTTTAACTGATCTACAGATAAAGGCCTTTTAACTCCATAATACTTCAAAGAAAACAAGATGAAAGTTGCAAATCAAAGATCGTGGTGTACGTATTAATGAAAGCGGTATTTTTATTTGTTTAAACTAGCAATTTCGACAATTATCACAATAGTATTTCCAAAAATAACATGTCTACCTGGTATAAATAAAAATAATATCATCATCATCATAAGGTCTTAAGACTGGTTGGACACGCACCTTCACTCTTTCCTATTCTGAGCTAATCTTCGCATTTCTTTGAAACTAGAACAACCCACATCCTTAACTATTTGCGAACAGTAATCTAATCTAGATCTACCTCTACCCCTCCTAACTTCCGTTTCTGCCTCTAATATGTCTCTGATTAGACCTTCATGCCTGAGAAGGTGTCCTACCAACCTATCTCGCCTATTTCTTTTATCGACTACTATTGAGTCCTCTGTTCTCTTATTCTTTCTAATACCTTGTCATTTCTAACCTGTATCCATAGTATCCTCATTATTCGTCTGTAACACGACAATCTTTTCTTTTCCGCAGCGCCCACCGTCCATATTTCGCACCCGTACAGCGCCGCGCTCCAAACATACACCTTTAACAACCCTTTTAGAATTTCTAAATTAACCGTTCGCGAGCATAGAAGTGACTTACTTTTATTGAAGGCGACTCAACCCTGCGCTATCCTCTGCTTTATATCCCTACCACTCCTTCCGTCTTAACTTATCTGTCTTCCTAGATACCTAAAATCAATCACTTCTTCTATTCGCTCTTTCCCTACTTTTTCTTCCCTTGCTGTTAAAGCCGGGTATAGAAACAGAAAATTTGTAAGATAGGTTGTTTGGAATATTTAATGATTTATAGATAGATTTTATGCTTTGGAATGTATTTGTAATTGTAATTGTTATGGGGTTGTAATTCGAACTAACGATGGGAAAATCCAATCATTCACTTATCTAGGAAACGGTCTGAAAACGTGTACGTACAGGTCCACTACCCTGGAAAGTACACGTACTCACATTCTTAGAACAGGTCAGTTGTTCCTCCCTACTACTATACGTTACATTCCAAAATTATTGAACCTTAACTTTTTGAACACGCCCATCAAGCATCAGTATTCTCTTTTACAATAAATTTACACAGAACTTATCAGTAACTTGAACAATACAGAACCTTTCAGTAACTTAACCAAATAAGAACAATATTTTATTCATATTCAGTAGTTTAATTTAGTATAACTTGTTTGTTATTTGTTTTCGAATTAGTTTTTAAATAAACTATGATCAAGTGTTGGTAAAGAAGTATTTTTTCTAAACCCAGNAAACACCCTGTCCATACTTCTTTACCCTAAGCTGAATCTGTAGTTATAAGAGGTAGGTACGTTTCAAATCTTTCTGGCTGCAATTAAAAGATCGCCCTTCAGATCGGATGAGGACACTATTACGATTATATTTTGAACTGAATTCATGTTCGACAATTTAGTAGAGATAGAGAAGTAAAAACAAAATGTAACGAAACGTGTGATACGCTAGGTACAAGGATAGGCAAAATACTAAAGGTGGTGGGAGAAACGAATGACAGGGACATAGAGATAGAGAGTCACCACCTACAGAGTTACTAGGCCTTAAACAAAATGAAAGTAAGAAACCCTGGATAACAAATGAGATTGTAGGATTAATAGAAGAAAGGCGGAAATAAACTGGGCAGACGAAGAAGGGTAAAAAAGATAGAGGGCTTTAAAGTGGGAAATAATTAGGAAGTGTAGGGCAGCTAAAGAACAGTTGATTGATAGGAGGTGTAAAGATGTAGAAGAAAAGTTTGAAGTAGGTAAAACCGATGAGGCTTATAATATAATTAAAAGGAATTTTAGAGAAGTAGAGTACAGTAGTACTTATATAAGAAACGAGGCAGGGGCCATTTTGATAGAAAATGAGGAAAAGGCAGATAGATGAAAAAAGTATTTAGAGAACCTATACACAGGCCATAAATTAGGAGATAGATTAGAGAAGGAACATAAAGGTTGTTAAAGTAGGCGCGGCGGAGAAGCAAATGTTAGAAGCGTTCGAAATGGGGTGTTACAAGCGAATGATGAGGATACTGTGGATAGAGAAGGTTAAAATGAAGAGATATTAGAACGAATAGGCAAATAGATGACTCTATGGAAATCAATAAGAAATAGGCGAGACAGATTTGTAGGACGCCTTCTCAGGCATGAAGGTCTAGTCAGAGATATATTAGTGGCAGAAACGAGAGTTAGGAAGGGTAGAGGTAGACCTAGATTAGATTGCTGTTCGTAAGGTTAAGGATGTGGGTTGTTCTAGTTTTAGGGAAATGCGAAGATTAGCTCAGGATAGGAATTGGTCTTGGTGTTGCATTATGATAATATACCGGTTTACACAGCACTGATAAATAATTAGAGACCATTTCGTCAAAAATTCAACTCACATCGTGCCATAACCACCACATTCGTCTAATTCAACACCAAATGATTTCCGGCTATTCCCTAAACTGAAATGATCACTCCGTGGATACCTTTTCGACTAAGTTGAGAAAATACAAGCCAAATCTACGAAAGCTTTGGAGGTCATACCAAAAAGGACTTTTCTGACTGTTTCGAGTGTTAAAGCCAGGTATAGAAACAGAAAATTTGTAAGATAGGTTGTTTGGAATATTTAATTATTGTAGGTAGATTTTATGCTTTAGAATGTATTTGTAATTGTGCTTCGAATTAACGATGGGAAAATCCATTCATTAACTTATCTAGGAAACGGTCTGAAAACGTGTACGTACAGGTCCACTACCCTGGAAAGTACACGTACTCACATTCTTAGAACAGGTCAGTTGTTCCTCCCTACTACTATACGTTACATTCCAAAATTATTGAACCTTAACTTTTTGAACACGCCCATCAAGCATCAGTATTCTCTTTTACAATAAATTTACACAGAACTTATCAGTAACTTGAACAATACAGAACCTTTCAGTAACTTAACCAAATAAGAACAATATTTTATTCATATTCAGTAGTTTAATTTAGTATAATTTGTTTGTTATTTGTTTTCGAATTAGTTTTTAAATAAACTAAGATCAAGTGTTGGTAAAGAAGTATTTTTTCTAAACCCCAGCATTAACATTGGTCCTTCGAGCCGGATTTAGAATTGTGAATTACAAACTACAGATTACGAATCACGGATTGCAGTTTGTGAATTGGCGAGTTGTACTTTTATGAACTTCAGCTCTAAGTAATTTGTTACGGAAAATTAGTGTGATTGTGAACTTTTATCATTTGAGACTATATCGAACAGTTTTGTGTGACGCTTCAGAGCTCTTTTCCGTGAACCGCCGATCGACGTGGTGACCTCAACCTATCCTGTGACGTTCCAGAGTACCTAGGGGACATACGAATACAACGGACGATAAAAATAGGGATTCAAGCTAAGGACCCTATCAGCAAACTGTAAGTTTTGATTTGCGTTTGGTGACGTCAATAATGGCAGAACTCAAACAACTCACTCTTCAACGTGGACATGTAAAGGCTACCTTAACTTGCTTTGTCATATCTTGAATCTATTGAAACAGGAAGAGAATTAATTAACCTCCAGACACGTTTACGAATTATCGAACCACTCTACG